TATGAAATATTCATTTGGCCCCCAGACACTCACTGGAGGCAACACCTCCCAGTAAGTGTTAGTCCCAAAGTGAAGCAGTGTAACCTACCAAAATTAAGGTCAAAAAACCATGATGACCAAAATACCAAAACCTTAAAGATAGGGAAAAATCAGTAATACTAAATTTTTACCTCAGGCTCCAATAAGGATCACATGGCATAGGTACTGATCTTATCATTATTCAAAATCCTATTTTGTTGGCCATGAAATCTGTGCATTAATTTTAAATATATGATACTGAAATATTGCCAAGGTAATATATATCGACTGGAAGCAAATATTTGTTAAGTTTTGGGACTTCCCCCAAATGGAGAACCTAAGACAAGTGCTTCTCTCACCATGCTCCAGTCCAGCCCTTAATGGTACTGATCTTATCATTATTCAAAATCCTATTTTGTTGGCCATGAAATCTGTGCATTAATTTTAAATATATGATACTGAAATATTGCCAAGGTAATATATATCGACTGGAAGCAAATATTTGTTAAGTTTTGGGACTTCCCCCAAATGGAGAACCTAAGACAAGTGCTTCTCTCACCATGCTCCAGTCCAGCCCTTAATCTTTATTCCTTGTGGAAATTCAGAATACCTCCCCCACATTTCTGAATACCCTTCTAGGTTGAGAACTTCCGAATGAGGAGTTGATTTTCTTCACATCTGGAGAGAGGCAGTCCAGGCCTGAAGTGGTTGCTGTATGATGTCAAAGGGGACCTAGGTTCCATTTATCTCTGCCATACTCAAAGGATGGCTGCCAGGGCCGAAGAATTATGTACTAATTACAGACAAGAAAATAAAGAGAGGGTGAAGGGCAAGAAAATCACACCAGCTATGCTGACTCTTTTCATTAGGAAAACAATAAGTGTCCCAGGAACCCACCCAATAAATCTTAACACATATTATCATTAGCAGGAGGTAATATATATCATTGACGGGAAGCAAGTTGCTACAGGGAGCCTGGGAGGTGAAGAGTTTTACATGGACACATTTCCAGCCTCAATGAAACTGATAGTCCACCTGCAAAAATTAAGGGCAAATGAGTGAAAGATAAATGGCAGGACACGTTCACTATGGGGACAATGCAGGATAACAAATACTGGCTGCTTTTGGTGACTGCAAATAGTATTGTTTCTGTTGGTCATGTGATGGTCTATCTAACCAGGGTATATTGATGATCACTTTTAGAATCACAGATGGAAACTGATATTATCCTAGGCTGGGACCCATAGAAGTAGAGCCTGAAACAGGGATTTCGGCATCTGTGATTTATCCTGAGTGAACCTTGTGAGGGATAGAAGCAGCAAAGGAAAAGGAGTAAGCCAAGCAAGGATGTGTTCATAGATCTATGGTATGACATTGGCCTGGTGCATGAGCCCCTTAGCTTTGATGAATCTTGCCTGCCATTCAAGAAGGGTAGGAGTGTGTCTGGATGCTGTAACCTTCCATTAGCCAGGTGCAGGGATTAGCCACAAGAGGGTTACAGGTGTGAGCTGCTTATAAAAGTAGTCATTGCAGCTGGGGGAATGGGAGCACATCCCTAATGTGGATCTGAGTGGGCACCAAGAGCATTTACTATAAACTATCATTTTAGCATGGTCTCAAAAGAACTGCCTTTATTTTTACTTTACATTGCTTGAGAACATAACCCTACATATACTGCTGAGATTAAGAGCTATTGGAAAAACTGGTAACAAGTTGAAAGTGCCTCATTTTAAGAAAAACTGATTAACAGGTGTTGACTTGTTTGTTGAACCGCTAATGGAGAAAGCACTTTATAATTTGCTCTGGGTATTAACTAGGATCTACTCTGTAGCTCACAATCTTATCAGGGCATGTTAATATTTCATAGTCTTGGGGTCTCATTTAAAGCTCAATGAATATTTAATTGATGTTGACCAACAAAATAAGCAAAAGAATTATGTTGTATTTAGTCAGAGCTAAAATGAGCAAATGCTTCATTTTCTTCAGTAGTCTGAAGCTAACCTTATTCCACCTTCATGAAATATTCTATAAAATTGTATAAGCAATTATAGGGCTTCAAAATCATCTTGAAAGGCACATATTAAACATTGTGAAAAACATGAAATAAAATGAATTTTCAAATTTACATGCAAGGGAATGGCTTAATATATTGTATATTCCATAGTGGATTTAAAATATTGTCAACAAAATCTTTTTGACCTAAGAGGTAAAAATGGGATCTTTTCCTTGGATTTTTAAAATGAAATATTCTTTAAGATTCAGAATTATAGAAACCTATGCATAATTGCTCCAAGTCAGTCAGCCGAGAAACTGTTTTCAAGCTCTAGGTCCAGCACTGAGCCAAAAACTGAAAATAAAAAAATACTAGCCTGTGTTGAAAGGAGAGCTGGTTTTCCAGGGAAGAAGCCTCCCTGTGGTCTGTTAGATCTCTTATAAGTATCAGAACTGGGTTTCAAATAACATGTGCTTTAACTGATGTACTGTATCACAGGTGACATGGGGATGTGTCACTTCTACCATATCTGAGGACATTTTAATTAGAATCAAAGTATTGCTAACCAATCCAGGTTAAAGCCGTCTACAAAAATCACCTGATCAATTGTACATCTTATGATCTGAATTCTTTATCTAGTTCTGAATTTTTTTTTTCATTACAGGGTCTAAAAGAATATAACAGGTTCTTTTGGAGAACAAAACATGGGACTGGGATAGAAGGGTTATCATAAACAGAGCACATTCACATAGCTGCCTTATAAGAAATAACTGCTCACCTTGGGTTTCTTTTCCTTTGATCTCTGTCCCTTTCTTAGATACTCAAAGGCTGGGTGTATACCCAGTGGTAGAATACTTGCCTAACATGTTTGAGACCCTGAGTTCAATCCCAAGCATTAGAGGAAGAGACAGAGAGAAGAAAAGATACAAAAATACATTCTGTTTTTTAACTACTGATTCTGTGTGTGTGTGTGTGTGTGTGTGTGTGTGTGTGTGTGTGTATTATTTGCAGACATATACCTTAAAACTTCAAAAAAAGCCAAGTGTTGTGGTATATGCCTGTAATTCCAGCACTTAGAAGGCAGAGGCAGAAGGATCAGAAGTTTGAGTTTGAGGCTATCCTCAGCCACATGAGAACCTCATTTCCCTAAAGAAAAAGTTTAGACGCTTGCCTAATAATGGCATCCCTTCCCTTCCCTTCAGCAATTCCGACCATCTCCCACTTTAGTCCTTAGGGTTGGAGAACCACAATTAGCGTACAGAAAAGGAAGGCAATTTTTTGGTTTCTATTTAATGCCACATTTAGAACACACCAAATTAGTTAATGGCAAGCCACTAAGCAAAATGACATAGTGGCTAGACTCTTGGTATCTGTAGAAAGACAGACGGTCCTACCCAGAGAACAAGATGGAGAAAGGCTGATAAGCATTAGACAGGAAACATGAGCATCTGGCACCCTGTAACAAGAGCACCTAATCGGAAACAGCAGAGCAAGGATAATTTTTCTTTGTTTAAGGACATTTTTGTTATTGAATTTATTGTTTTTTTGTCTAGGTCTTGGTAGGAAGTAGCCCTTGTTCAAAGGATGCAAAATTAGAAAGAGTAAACTCAGGAGATCTATCATATGGCACAGTGACTACAGCTAATAGCAATGTACTTGAAAGCTGTAAAGAGAATAGATTTTTTTTTTGGTCTTCTTGAGACAGGATCTCCCCATAGCCCCAGCTAGCCTGGAACTCACTATGTAGACCAGACTGGCCTGGAACTCACAGAGATCTGCCTGCCTCTGCCTCCCGAGTGCTGGGATTAAAGGCATGCACCACCACACCCGGCTAAGAGAATAGATTTTAAACATCCTCAGCTGGGCATGGTGGCACATGACTTTAATCCTGTACTCATGAGGCAGAAGCACATGGATCTCTGAGCTCGCTGACCAGGACTACATAATGAGACCCTGTCTCAAAAAAAAAAAAAAAATCAACTTGGGGCTGGAGAGATAGTTCAGCAGTTAAAAACCACTGGTTACCCTTCCAAAGGATCCAGGTTCAGTTCCCAGCACCCACATGGTGCCTAACAACCATCTATAACTCCAGTTCCACAGAGTCTAATGTCCTGTTCTGGCCTCCACAGGCATTGCACACATGGGTGCATTTATATACATGTAGGCAAAACACTCATACACATAAAAAATGAGTGAATGAATAAATAGTTTTAAAAGTTAAAAAATTCAAGGGCTGAAGTAGTAACTTAATGAGGTTAATTTGTTTATTTTTTGTACAGTTACTTTGGCTATTGAAGTCTTCCTATATTAGTCCACTGTGTATTTAGATAAGCAGAAGTAAA